TGCTCTCAATAAACTTTAAAAAGGCAGACTGGTGCCCTGAGGGGGGGCCGGCTCTTCACGATGGACCAAGTTGCTTTCAGCGGGGACGCCTGCTTGAAGTGGGAGCCTGCCACCCCTCCGGGACACGCAGCTGCTACAGAGAGACCTCATTATTGGTTAGGATGGGTAAGACTTGCTTACAGGTGACACCTGGGTGAGTATTGGGGGGGAGCCTTCTCTCTAGGGTCTTTTATGCACTTTTTCCTCCGCCCTGATTCTTTCCCTCAGGCGCCTGTCTTTATTCACCTTTTTCCCTGTTTGCCACCTTGTTCCTAATAAATAGCTATTGTTTTGCCAACTAGCAACGGTGTTTGGTTTATTCACGTACCAGGATCCCTCGAACCTGTTTTTTTTCCCCTGGTTTTTCCACCCTTCCCTGTTACAGCAACACTGTGTTAGAAACAAACAGGTAGAATCATTACCCAAAATGTTACAAATAAATCGTGGGAAAAGCCTCATTTATCAAACAGAGCTCTCCTGTTCCTGAGGAAGATGTAAGAGGAACTACCTGCACCATAAATGAAATTCTGTTCCGTCCTGTACTCTGTCTCCTGTAGGATCACACAGTTAAGTTCTTCTACACCTGATCACCCACCACGTCACTCCCCTGTAAGCCAAAGGTCTGGTACAAGCTGCAGGAGCTGCCTGCTAGACAAAATGGTCATTTTGCTACCTCAAGGTAAAAATTCCCCACACCTCCTCCTTTTTACGCAGGCACAAGACTCTGTAGGGATGCAGAGACCCAGAAGAGGACAATGGGAGGGACTTCTCCAGTGCACTGGCAAGGCTGACCTCCCAAAGAGCAACAACTTGAATACAGGGTATACAACTAACACTCAACAGCATACATGGTGTATATTGGAGTGTCTCTGCACCACTCCTGCACCAATCCATCCTGCTTTTGAGGCGACTTCCCAGCATTAGGATTCCAAACCTTGAAGGAGTTATGCAGAACCAAGCTGCAGCATCACTGAATCCTCTGATCTCCCACTGAATAATGGTGATCAAACATAGGAAGCTGGTTTGTCCAGGTCAGATACTGGTCCTGGAGTGTGTCCAGGGAAGGGAACGGAGCTGGGAAAGGGGCTGGAGCAGCAGGAGCAGCTGAGGGAGCTGGGGGGGCTCAGCCTGGAGCAAAGGAGGCTCAGGGGGGACCTTCTGGCTCTGCAACTCCCTGACAGGAGGGGGGAGCTGGGGGGGTCGGGCTCTGCTCCCAGGGAACAAGGGACAGGAGGAGAGGGAACGGCCTCCAGCTGTGCCAGGGGAGGGTCAGGTAGGATATGAGGAGGAATTTCTCCCTGGAAAGGGTGGTCAGGCCTTGGCAGGGGCTGCCCAGGGAGGTGGTGGAGTCCCCATCCCTGGAGGTGTTTGAAAGGCACGTGAGTGTGGCACCTGGGGACGTGGTTCACTGGTGAATATGGTGGTGCTGTGTTAATGGCTGGACTCCACGGTCCCTAAAAAGCTGTACCAGTTGAACACACCTTCCCTGCTTAAACACACCAATTTGTTTTTCCTAAGCTCCACTGTGAAACAAAAGCAGCACTGCCTGCTCCATGTCACCCCCAGGCAACGCCTACAAAAGACAGGGAGCAAACCTGTACATCCTTAACCACTGCACACGGGAACAGGAGAATCCAGGCAGCAGGATGAAATTGTTCAGTTTTACTCTTCAGTCAAATTATAGGTTGTGCTATTTAAATCCCTGTGAGCCCAATCACAAAATTTTATTAAACAGTTTTCCATGTTTAACAGTTATTCATGGAAAGGTCCACTATAATAGTATTTTAGCACCATCAACCTGTCGAAATCAACCTGCCCAATTACTCCAAACTACATTAATAACACCGGATATTACACTAATTGTGTCCAGTTTCTATGCAGACGAGGTCCCACGGGGCTAATTCTGCATCCTCAGGGGCAAGCAACTCAGCCATCAGCCTGATTTCACCAGGAATCCCTCCTCATTACACAAGTTCAGCCTGTCAAACTTTTTTTTTTTTAAAAAAAAAAAGGTTAATGGGCCAATCAGTCATCAATTATTTCCTGGAAGGGCAGCAGAGGAAGGGTTAAAGTGCGAAGAACCAGCTGCCACTGACTTCCATTTGGAAGTTATTATCAACAGGAGATATCTAAAATGTTGTTGTTGTTGTTTGTTTTGCCTTTTTTTTGGAGTGGGAGGGGTGGTTGGGATGGGAAATGAGCCAAAACCCTGAGACTGTGATGACACGGAACCTAAAGCATAAGGGATTTTTTTTCTGTTAGTGGAAGTGGGAGTGCATTCCATGAATTTTAGGAAAATCCCCAGACCACCAGAGCCACCACAGCACTTCCAAAAAGTTACACAATACCACTGGTGATGCTGCACATAAGGGTGGTGAGGCCCTAGCAGGCTGCCCAGAGAAGCTGTGGCTGCCCCTGGATCCCTGGAAGTGTCCAAGGCCAGGTTGGATGGGGCTTGGAGCAACCTGGGCTAGTGGAAGGTGTCCCTGCCCATGGCAGGGGGTGGCACTGGATGAGCTTTGAGGTCCCTCCCAACCCAAACCAGTCTGGGATTCCATGATACTCTTTTCACCATCATCCTTCCATAGTCAAGTTACTGCACTTAACCTGAATTCACATTTATTTTGCTCTGCCAAAAGCCAGACATTGCCACAGCCCACCCACTTCTGGAAAACCAGAGACTGAGAAGCAAAGGATTGTGCAAGAGAAAATAAACATTTAGGCACAGCCCCACTGCCTGTGTCTGTGGTGTGTGACAGAGATCAGATTTAGAAAACTACACTGAAAATTACCACAGGATACAATTAGTCTATAACTTCTTCCAGAGAACTCAATTAAGTCGATGGAAATGTAGGGAAAACACGGGTCCAGAAGCGGTGATGCCTCTTGGTACCTGGCAAGAGCTGCTCTAAAGAACGTGCAGCAATCAGTTTGATATCAATTTCCACTTCCAACCTATTTTATTCTCAATATTAGGAACTGTATAAATAGCCACAGACACCTTGCACCAGTGTTTGAACAAGCACAGTTCAAAGTCACAAAATCATCGAGTATCAGGTCAGAAGGGACCTCAAGGATCACCTGGTCCAACCTTTCAGCACTGAAAGTCAACAGAAGGCAAGGGCTCTTCTCTGCCAGGCACTGTACAGTGAGAAAGTACACCCATTACACTCATCCCAAAAGTCAGCTTTTAAACAAAAAAATATTCCTATTTTTCACAGGATCATAAAATGATAGCACCGTTCAGGTTGGAAAAGACCTCCAAGATCATCAACTCCAACCACTTTCATGGGTATAAATCAAGGACTCGCCAGGCTTAAGGTGTTTCTCATAGGCACCCAGCAATATTTTGCCAGAATCAGAAATAAAAATAAATAAATAAATAAATAAATAAATAAATGTTCTGGCTTCCAAGGCAACCAGACTTTGCCCAAGGTAGTTGTCTTCAGGGGGTGCTGGTGCTGATCAACAGTAACTCACCGCGCATGTCCGGTGGGCGATGCCACTCCCTCAGCAAACACTTCCCAGAAACAAGAAGTCAGGTGCAGCACCAGAAGATTCTCAGTGGTGCATTTCAAACACCCCTGAAGGCCCCTTCAGGGGCTGTGGTTCCAGCTGGAATGCTACTCACGCCTGCCTCCAGTAACACCCAGACCCAGTTCAGCTCCCTTTTCATCACGCCCTCTTCCCTGTCGCAAAAATCTCTTCTGCTCAAGCACCATCCTCATAACCCTCCACCCTTTCAAAAGGGTGGCAAGCAGGAGCTGCTGAGGTGCCCTAACACACAGTTTGTGTTATTTACATCCTGTATAACGTTAACTCTTCTCACCTTTTGCCACTCGGTGTAAATTACCCCCCCTAACTTGGCAGATGTATGTTTATTAGCAGCCTCAATTAAGGAAATATTTGTGCCATGTCCCACTGGGCATGGCTATGCTAATACTTCTCTCCCCTTTCCAAACCCAGTGTCTAAATCTAATTATTTCTGAAAATCAACCCTATCAGGACAATAGAGCTCTGCTTTTGCTCGCCCACAGCTCTTGATAAAGGTTGTGTTCCACTGGAAGAATTTTATCCTGTTTTATATTGCTGCCCACGAGTGACAAACTGCTGATGAAAGGCACTGAACCCCCCCTACCATACGGATTTGTTGTTTTGTTTGGGTGCCAAGACTTCTAAAAAACTTTAAAAATTCAGTTTATGCAGGATGTAACTTCCTGCACAGGCACAGCACCATGGCAGCGAAGGCATCACTACCTCTGAAACCAAAGGGAGGTTGGGGCTTCATGAATATCCAAACTAAAGGTTGCCCATCAGTGCCTGGCAAATCTGACCCAGCACTGTTTAAAATCACATATGTAACTGAGAAGAGTGGAAAAATGAAGATTTAATATCTTTATGCAGGTTAAACCACAGCATGCAGAGCACAGGCATTAAATTCCATAAAGATGATCCTTTCCACTCTGCTGCAAAATCATAAAATCACAGAATCCCAGACTAGTTTGGGTGGGAAGGGGCCTTAAAGCTCACCTCATTCCACCCCCTGCCATGGGCAGGGACACCTTCCCCTAGCTCAGGCTGCTCCAAGCCCTGTCCAACCCGGCCTCAGTCTGCTGATACAGAGAAATAATTCTGTATTTTAATAGAACTACAATGATAGCAGGTGCCAGTGATTCCAGCAGGTCTTAACACCAGAGTGGGGTTTGTTTCAAGCATAACTCACTGCTACTAGATATTTTCCCCCCCTGGAGAATCAAAGGATTGCTTAAAGCCTGGCTGCCTGCAATAGGGAGTGGGTGGGACTTTTTCACTTGTCAGTGGCTCCCTATAGAAAAAACCCAGATCTGAAAACTAAGAGTTTAGGAAAATCCTAAAATTCACGAGAGTAAGATTTCTTGCAATGATAAAAAGTGATGGAGGACAGAGCTGTGGAATTTTTACTTCCTTTCCACCTGACAGGAGGGTGGAGCCAGGTGGGGCTGGTGTTTTTTCCCAAGGAACAAGTGACAGGACAAGAGGACAAGCCTCAAGCTGTGCCACGGGAGGTTAAGGGCATCAAGAAGAATTTCTTCTGGAAAGGATGGTCAGGCCTTGGGAGGGGCTGCCCAGGGAGGTTTGTAGTCCCCACCCTGGAGGTGTCCAAGGAAGGCCTGGACATGTCACTCAGTGCTCTGGGCTGGGGGACGAGGTGGGGATTGGGCACAGGTTGGACTCGATGATCCTGGAGGGCTTTTCCAACCTAAAGGATTCTGTAGTACCCTCAGAAGGTAGAGTCCTTCAGGGATCTTACACCCTGTGAAAATCCCCCCCTTGCCCACCCACAGCACTACTTTTGCTGTCCAACAAGCCAAGAGGGAGGAGCCCCACGGAAGGAGGATACCCCAGGATGCCACCAGGCTGGGCACCCTCACAACCCCTCAGCACAGCTGCAGCACCTGAGCTGCACAGTTCTCCACTGTAACCTGAGACTGGCTACCCAGAAGCACAGAGAATACCTAAAAATAGCGACAAAAATCACTGGAGAGGCTGCTTTCTGCCCCAAGCCTTTAGAACCCGGACTGCAGGGATGGAAATATTTTTGGTGTGTAAACAGGTGCAACTGAGCAAACACGAGCTGAACACCAGAGCAGATTTGTTATCCTGGACTGTCATTTCCCATCCTCGTTCTCTTTTCTGAAGGCACAATTATGGAAGCACGTGGCTTTAATGCCCACAATGCTCATTAACTCGACATGTGCCCGTCTCACCACTGCAGTTCTCACACAGGGGCTGAAGGGACCAGCTCAAAGCTATGGAGAACTCTGAACCTGCAGTTTTTAGGGGGAAAAAAACATCCAAGTAAAGATTCATTTGCCTAATTTTAGAATTTCATTCTGTGTCTCAAAACTCTTTGGGCCATGGCCAGCAGGACTATATTCATTCCCATACCATGGTGCCTTTGATCCTTAGTTTGATGAGTAAGATAAAAGATCCCTGAAAATAGACATGCCCTAAAAAAACCTTTGTCCATGAAACACAAGGGAATTCTATATATTTGTTTCCCTGCTGTGATTTAGTAACAGGTAGATATAAAATCACAAGCTTCTCAAGCAGTAAACCTGGAACAACAAATATGCTGATTAGAAGAAAAATTTGGCTGGGAGATAAAGACCAGCAACTACAGGGAAAATTAAAAATTACTAAAGAGGAAAGTGGGGGGGAAAAACCCCAATCAAATCTTATGACTATCTGACAATCATTTTCTCTCATTGTGTATTGAAAAGAAAAGAACAAAAAAGACAGCTCTGAAAGGTAATAATTTTATGTTTAGACTGAGAAACAAAATAAAATTATACTTTAAAAAAGCTGCCTTAACAAGCTGGAATAAAATCCCAGTTTTGTTTCCTGCACACACTTTGTTTGGCAGGGAGAGCAACTAGCTGTAATTGTGCAAAAAAAGGAGGGTGATATAAATCACCAAAGGTTAATGATCAGGATGTGAACAGAGGGACTTGTTTACAGAAATAGCTCGCAATTTAAAATTTACAAGAGATTTAATGCCACCGCTTGGCAATCACTAAAATCAACAGCCCAGAAAACACTGACATTAAGAAAAATATTACAGTTATAATCATTCCAAAATAAGTCAATTAGTGTTAGGGCAGGCGCTCGCCATTACTTGACCCATTTGGTTTGCACTTAAGTGAAGAGAAAAAAAAAAATCCCCCTCCCTTCCAGCGAGATTACTGAGTTGTGACCTATTTTGCATTCCGTTTCTTACACCATCCCTCTTCCATGCTGCTGGAGATGGTGGTGCTGGAGTGTTTTTTTCACCCCCTCTCCTTGCCTGGTTTCCAAGTAATTCTGACCTTTGACATTTGTAATAATAAAATAAAATATATATATATATAAAAAGGCAGTTTATAATTGTGTTGTTCAAACGAAGGTGGAGGTGTGGGGAGGGGGAAATAAATATATAAAATTCCATGTGCTATTATACAAAAGGCATGACGGCTGTCTTGGGTGGGAAAAAAAGCAATGTAAGTCAATTTGTGAACTTTGGCACCAGGTGACCTTTAGAAATACAACAATATCCAGAATTTACAAGCAAGAGCAGCACATGCAAATGACCCGGCACTGTCTCGCCTCTGGATTAGAGCTGCAAAGAGCATTATGGAGAAGGCTTGCACAAAACAAATTAAGATTGTTACTTAAATGTCACGGCACACTATTGTATTTGGCTACAGATCATTACACCTGATACTAACACTTTTAAAAACTGTAATAACTTGGGAAATATTACATTGAGTGCCCACACGGAGAAAGGGAAAATATATATGTATCTCCTGAAAAAAAAAAATAAAAGGAGAAAATGGGTTCCTGAAGTAATTTAAACATCACCACTCCACGACTAGAGGGAAAGGTCAAGATTTAAGTAAGCTGAAAGGAACACAAATGGCAAAGTGAAAGGCACAACCAGAGAGACGGAAAGCCCAGGTGGAATGACTCTGCAAACACGGGTGGGACAGGCATGCTCGGGGCAAAGCTCACTTCCATGCCCACACTGGGGAAGGGACAGAGGCAAGGAGCACGAAGTTTTGGAGAAGAGGGTTAAAAAAAAGGGGGAAGAGAGGAGGTTTCCATCTGGGACGGGTGGGTTTGTTACCTTCGGTGTTGGTGCTGCTGCTGCTGTATATATTTCGCAGGCTACCAACACGGTTTAGTTTCCAAGCTTTGCGTTTGGCTGCGTCCAGAGAGCAGGAGGGGAAGAGAAAAAAAAGAGAATAAAAATAAAGAAAAAGAAGGGGACCAAAAGAAAAAAAAAAAGAAAGAAAATCAATGAAAAAGGGGAGAAAAGAAACATCAAAAAGCATGTGAAGTAAAATACAAGCACGAGCCTGTTAACAAGTGAAGAGCTCCACACAGAAAATGCACACAGGACCACTCAGCCTCTCCAATCCACGGCCCAGACAGAAAAACTCTTGAGAGGGATTTTTCTTTCAGTCTCTACAACGTGACATGACAAGATTAAATGGATCTGCTATTGGAATAGATAAAAACAGACCAGGAGAAGTAAAAAAAGGCAGGAAGTATTTGTGCAGAGGATACAAGACTAGACAAAACAGCTACTGTAAAATGCGATTTAATTCATGACAGAACAGCCTGACAAGAGCTCCTTTTCCCCAAAAGCCTGTAGGGATCACTTGGTGCCTGGAGTTCACCCTTAAACCTCCTTTTTACATCATCGCCTTTAAAAATTGAAGTGATGATGTAATGACCTTGAATCCTCCTAACCACAAATGCTATTTGTAGTGCTGAGCTTAGAGACATTAAAATCATCATAGAATCACAGAATGGCCTGGGATGAATGGACCTTAAAGCCCATCCAGTCCCACCCCCTGCCATGGGCAGGGACACTTTCTAGCCCAGGTTGCTCCAAGCCCTGTCCAACTTGGCCCCATGCAGGGATGGGGCAGCCACAGCTTCTCTGGGCATCACCTAATTATTCTGAAGAGTGTCAAGCAGACACTGATGCAATCAATGTTTGTTGGTCCTCCCTTCCTTCCCCCCTGGCAAATCACTGCAAAATCAAGGTGTTTATTTGGAAAGGGAAAAAAAAATAAAATCGATCCTTTACACAGAACAGTAACATCCCCATGTTATTAGAATTGACTCAAACTTTGAGATTCTCTGAGCTCCTGGCTGCTGTTTCACAATTAGCAGAAAATATTGCTCAAAAACACTCCACTCCTGTGCTCATTAGGGGAGAGCACATTTTCACCTTCTTTAAAATCGACGTGTTTTGCCTCAAGAGTGAAATCCCAGCATGAGAAGGACGTTCAATCAAAAATATGTTTAGGCTGAGATTCATCAGACAGCAACTGCAGGAAACATCCAAGTACACCAGGACACTGCTGGCACTGCCAGCAACTGAAAAACCAGGGAAGTGGTGGGATTAGCATCCCTGGAAGTGTGACTGTGGCCCCTGGGGACCTGGTTTAGTGGTGAACACGGTGGTGCTGCGTTAATGGTTGGACTCAACGATCTCAGAGGTCTCCTCAGGGACCTTAGACCCTCCCCTCTCCCACCACAGATGCTCCTCACCCTTTGGGATGACAGGGACATCACACAACGTACCGAGTACTGGGATACAATAATTTAAAAGTTTTCTTTCTGTATTTATGAGGGAACTTTTTGAATGCCCCACAAAAGTCAGACCAAATGGCTGCTTTCAGGGAAAAGGAACAGTGACGTGAAGTCATTCCAATCTTTAACAAAAAGCCTGGTTTTCAGCTGAAGAACTAAGGCTGTTAAGCTATATGAGGTTTTAATAAAGCCATCTGCAGGTTTTTATGTCATATACAGAAAAGGAGGACTGGATTCGCGGTGACATCATCAAATCTGAAAGTGTTTTCACTGGGTGCATCCTTCAAGCTGAAAAAAACCTTTCATTTTAACAAGTCTCAGCACCTACAGAGGCACAATTGCCCAGCAGAGAACTTGTTTTTCCTCTAAAACATTTACATATAAATAGGTAAAATCGAGGTTTGGCACCCCTCTGAAGGGAAGATGGTCTGCAGTGCACAGAGACCCTTTCCCAGTCCCTTTTCCATTTTTCACACTTTAATGGCATGTTTGAGTCTGGCTGTGTGAGCAGGAGTGAACTCTCAGCCTGGTTTTCTATTAACCTATTGATGAAATAATCCATTTTAATGTGGTAGGTGTCAGGTCTTTCCCTTCTCTTTAAATAAATGGACTTTTCCCACAATGATGCTGAGGTCCTGATACATCCCAGTGTGTCCTTTCCCACTGATTAGGCTCCAGCCTGTTTGCTCCAGGTGCTCTCCTGGCTTTGAGGATTCAATAGGATTATCAGCAGCAGGGTTTGGGCACTGCCAAGCGCAGCCTCTGCGGGGTGACTGATGTGCCAGGACCCAGTGGAGCCTCCTATCCCACCTGGTTTTGGAATTACAGTGTTGTTACCGACCAACAAGGCTGGAACAGGCGCCACAGGTCATTATTTGCCTGGTTTGGCTTTCACTTATATCACAGGATATTCAGCCGCTCCGGTCTGGGTTCACTTGCTGGGTCCAAAGTTAATTCAACAAAAGCTCTTGTTGCCAACTCTATATATCTATATTCATATTATATCTATATTATATCTACATCTATTATTTATATCATATACACACTTAAACAATCAAATCAACCCCAACTGGTTACCAAGAAAAAGCTGTAAGAAACACTCCATTATGTAACAGCAAAACTCACTAATTAGAAAGATCCTTAAGGCAGATTGATTTGAAGTATCTCCTGGAAGTGTATTCTCTTCCAAAAAAGCCACTAAGAAGTGTCTCTAACTAGAGATTCCAGAAAAAACCCAGAAACACACCTCTCTCAAACATCAAATACCTGGAATGAATTTAACTACATATACCCATATCACCAAGTGCCACATCCACTCAGTTTTTGAGCACTGCCAGGGATGGTGACCCCTCCACTGCCCTGGGCGCCCCTTTCCAATGCCTGACCACCCTTTCAGCGAAAAATTTTTCCTGATGTCCAACCTGAAACGGACTCATACAAATTTGGAAGGGTCAGAAGTGTTTTCTGCTGTGGTTTTCCTACAAAGAACCTTAAACTGCTTAAATCAAACACACCAGGACACTTGTGAGGTGAAGAACTGCTACAGACTGGTTGCTGCAAATGGGGAAAGGCTGTAGAGCACACAGAGCCTGGAGATCATGGAAGCCTTTGCCATGACTTTGTAGGCACTGACTGTGCTTTTCCAGAGGCAATTCCACTCCTTATTTGTGAGGCAGGGACTGTGATGCACATGCTTTGAAGTGGGAGCTGTACAGGTTACTTGATGGCTCTGCAGGTCTTTGAACATCCAAAAACAACCAAAAGAGAGCCCCAAACACTGAATCCAAGCAGAAGATACTTAAATCCAGTGGGAGATGATACATGTTGGGTCTCTCCATGACAATGGAGTGTATGACAATGCAGCTCTGGGAGGAAATCCAGCTGGATCTGGAGACAGAGAGGCCTCCCTTTGCTGATGTTTTTGAGGACTCCACTGTGAGCTGAACTATACCCACTTAACACACACACACTCTGGATGTAAAACAGCCTCTCACATCTTAGAGTGAAAATAGGCATGTTGGTATCATAGAAGAAAACCAGGCTTCAGTAGAACCTTTTGCCAAGATATGGAGTAACTGGGAATCAGTTAAACTTGATCACTCCCAATTACCCCCTCTCTTTGTACTTGTGCAGACAGTAACTTCCCAGCTGTGACCATCCCCCTGCAGACAGAATCTCTGTGGTTGCTTTCTTTAACAGGCCTGCTATTTATTCTCTGTTAATGAATCTACTTGTCCTGTTTTGATTAGGTTTTGTAGTAAATATGTTTACTACCACCACGATCACGTACCATTCTTTCTTAAAGCAGCAGATGTTTGTAGAAGGAATGTACCCACGTGTGATCTGAGGATCCATCTGTTTGGTACCAGGGAAGTTCTCTGAGGATGCTCAAGGTACTGTACTCAATAAAACCTCATATTAACCCCTTTAAGCCTGCACTAATTCAGTTCTCTATACATTTTGATAAGCAGAAATATGCTTTTACTCTTAGGAGACTCTTAATACCTACAGTCTCACCCTTGCTGATCAGCAGAACAGGAATTTGCCCAACACCACCACACTCTTTGGTAAGAGGATGAAAATGATTCCATTAAGATGCAACTCAGGAGATTCTCAGCCCATGGAAACTTGTCTCTGAGACTGTGAAAGGGCTTGACATTGTTTTACCCTATGTGAAAGCAATGACAAAAATTCCTCCAAAAGGGTTAAAAAAAAAAGGCAGCCCAAACCCCAGGCATATCTAATATACGACATTTAGAAAGTAAAATAAACTGGAAACATTGTGTTTCTAGACCTGTACAACACCTAAATTTTAAAATAAAAAAAAAATCAAACCACAAAGTGCACAGAACTTAAAAATCACAGAATCAAAAAATCACAAGATTCTCAGATGGTTTCGGTCGGAAGGGGCCTTCGAGTCCTTCTCATTCCAGTCCCCTGACACAGGCAGGGATGATAAATGTGTCCATCAATTTTCTATAATTTCTAACAAATATGTACAGCTTATCTATTAACCCGGATTTCCAAAGGAAACCTGAACATGACTCTAAAGTTTCCAAACACACCTGTTTGGTGCATGGATGTTATCAAGACATACATCCCAGGGGACTAAGAAAATGGATCCAAGAGACAAAAAGTATTTCATATGGTAACAGTCCTAAATATGCTCTTTTTGGACTCCAGAATACTCAAAAAACAAGCTGATGTAAAGTAAAATAGTAAAGTAAATTACTAAAAGTGCTGAGTTACGGATATTTCCCCAAACACAAGTAAAATTCTCTGTCTGGTACAAAAAAACCCCACCCTTTCCTCCAGAGCTGAAATCCTTCCCAGCGCTCTATTTTAAACCCAGAAAACACTCTAAAAGCAATACTTCAAATCCTATTAATAGTTAATTACGTTTGGCTTCTATTCAGCTTTGAACATTTCAAATGAAGGGAAAAAAAAATGAAAACACATTCATACTTCTGCTCGTGACAGGGGAAAAAAGTTACTCTAATTAAACATTCCTAAAAAATGTTTTTAATTTTTTTTTCCTCCTTGCAATATTTCTCCATCAAAACTTCTGCAATAGGTAAAGGACCCACTGAACGACTT